ACCGTGTGCACACGGCGGCCCGATCGGTTCTCTCCTTACCTTTGTTAAACGTAGGCCAAGTTTGTCCATGCATCCTCACTACGCTATCTCAAACGGGCGAAGTCATCGACCGGTCAAAAGCACTCCTCCTCGGCGGACACTAAAGTCACGCCATCGATCGGGAAAGCCGAAGCTACAGAAAAATCCCCCGATCCGTCCAACTTCTTTTCGTTAAGGCACTCACTCGTGCCCGAGCGTACAATGGTGTGGGGGCTTGGATGAAGGAAGTGTTGTAGGTCTCGCACTCGGGAACATCCCTAGCGACGTGCCCTAGTGAAATGTTATAGGTCTCGCGCTCGAGAACACCCCGAGCAAAGTGACCTAATATTTTCCGGAATCGACAAAGGCCATAAGGTCGGGTAAACCCGATCGAGCAGGCCATCAAGTCGTCAATGTTCCGGTCTGGAGAAGTGTTGTAAGCCCGTCGTTCGGGAACACCCTGATCGAAGGGGCTTAGTGGACAAAATCGGCAAAGGCCAATAGATCGGGTAAACCCCGAATGGGAAGGCCATTCTAAAGTCGATGGTCCAGTTGGAAGATGAACGATCAGGCCATGACGCCACGAGGTCGGTCATCGAACGAGTCGACCGGAAGATGCACGATCAGGCCATAAGGCCGTGAGGTCGGGCAATAGATGGGTCGAGAGATGCACGACCAGGACATAAGGCCGCAAGGTCGAGCATTACGCGTTCGGATTGTTTGAAGCAGGCAAATGAAAACGGTTGGGACAAGTTGAATAAAAGAACAAACTTCCATTAATTCAAAAGGTGCCCGGTACAACTCGGGACCGGGCTCCCGATCAGAGACACTTACAAAATGAAGAAGTAGTTGAAGGCTCCTTCTCTCTCGGAGCGGCCGCAGCAGACCCGCTCGGCTCGGCCATTTTCTTCCTCGGGTCGAACGGCGTTGGACCGGGGTCGGGAAGATCTGGAGGAAGCGTGGATAGGACTAGCTCAAGGTCTTCTCCTTCGAGCGCCTGTTCCATCCTTTTATGGGTCTTCTCGAGCATCTTCCTCTGGCCAGTCTTGAAAGCCCACCGGCCGAACGACCAGATCAGTTCGTCCCCGACCGTCGTTCCCCGGACCGCCTTGAGGAATTGTGTACCCGATTCGTTGTCCTGAAAAAGGAACCGGGCCAACTCGTCCGGGTTGTCCAACCGGGCCTTCAATTCCGCGATCTCCCCGGTCGCCTTCTCAGCCGCCGTCTTCCACTCAGCAGCCTCTCCGATCGCCCACTGCGCGACCTTCTGGGCTAGGTCCCGATCCTCCCCACTCTTCTTAAGGTCCTTCTGGACCTTCTCCAGCTCTGCCTGGATGTCCTTGACCTCTTGAAGCCGTCGGGCGGCGGCCTTCTTATGTCGATCGGCCTCGTCGGCCAGCATGGCCCGACCTTGAAGGAGCTGGGCCGCTCGGGAAATCTGCAAGATGCACTGTGTTAGCTCGACTGAGAATACTTGTGCATAAAGAGGAAAAGAGGAAAGGATTTTACCTCGGCAAGTCGTGGCCGATCTTCTCGGCCACTAGGGTCGGGGTCAGCTTGCTCAAGTCTTCCCGAGCTGGCCCGGCGTTGCCAATCCGGGCAAGGATGGTCGAGCTGCCCCTGCTAACCCCGGCCGAAGGGCTCGGGCTGCGCTGCTCTCTGCGGCGCTTCAGGGCGCCACCCTCCGTCACGCACTTCTCGGGCACCTTCTCCTTGCCCTTGGTGACCGCCACCCGGGCAACCAAGATATCCGACGTTTCGACCACGCCGCCCTTGGGCGTAGTGATGGTCGAGGTGCCAATCGGTCGGGCAAGCGGGACCTCCTTCTGCCCGGTTGGCTTGGTCTTCGGCTTCTTCTTGCCAAGCGAGATCTTGGCAACCGGGGGAAGAGGGGCCTCATCGTCTCCAAGGCCTGCCATTGCTGCAAATAAAAAAAAGAAGTTGGTTAGATCGGGAAGCGAGGTATCATTCGGGGAGTTAGGGTCGGGAGAAATTAGTTGATGTTAGACCTTTTTTCTTTCGTTTGGGTGCTTTCGCTACCGTCACGCCCATCGGCACGGGCAAATACTTCTCCGTAAGGTCGTACACAGGGGGTGGGAGCTTGGCCGCCTCGTAACTCTCAGCCGTCCGGAAAATTGCGTATTCATGAATCTCGCTCGAGATTCGAGTGACTGCGTGCTTGAGGGCCGGCGTGTCGACCAGCGTAACTTGTTTACGAAAGCGAGTGCTCCAAACTCGCTCAACCGGGAGGATCCAAGGGTCATACTTGACCGAGAAAATCCTATTCTTCCATCCTTTATTATTCCCGGGCAGCCCCTTGATCGAGCACATTTCCGCTCGGGACTGTAGCATTAGAAAGCCACCTCCATAGTTGCCCAGGAGAACCTTTACCTGATAGATGAAGTTAAATAACTCCATCGTGCAGGACACTTCATGCCGAGCACAGATCTGGGGGAAGCAGGCGATGATCCTATGCGAGTTGGGGCAGATCTGGGCCAGGACGACCTGGTAATATCCCAGGAAGGCTGTCAGGAGAGGAGGGAAGGGAATGGCGATCGGGGCCATTAGGGAGTCGTAATGCATCCCGATCCATTTTCCCCGATGCCGGTCGATGACATTCCCGAGCTTCCAGCTTGTGTCAAACTCTACCCGACTCGTGAGTCTCTCGGCAATCCTGGCCGCTTCTCCATTAGTCAGCCGGCTCATCTGCTGCTCGACATTCTCGCTGTTCAAGAACTCGAACCCGTCGTTCGCCGGTGCGGCCGGCTCAGCCGTCTCTTCCTCGATCGGCTCTGGAACGTTTTCTTGATCGTCCCCTCGGGGGACGGTTTCCGGGTGATCCCCTATCACCCGGGTCGGCGTTTCCCTAACGCCGTCGGTCGGGGAGCCTCGTCCGCTCGTTGAGGTCTCCCCGCTTTCTCTGTCTGAGTTTCCCGACCCGCTCGAGCTAGACCCCGACGTCCCGGACGAACTCGATGACTCCCGCTGCTCGGGGGATTTTCTCGATCGTTGGACGACCTCAGGCGAATAGGACATGATGTCCACTTCTTCGTCGCTGATGTACTCGACCTCCTCGTCGTAGTCCGCGACCGAGACGTTTTGGCTATCAGAATCTGTCATTTTGATCTACCTAAAGGTCGGTCGGGGTTAGTATGGGACTCGGGACGTTTGGGTCAGTTAGTTATAACCTACCAACCGCTCTACGAAACATAAAGCGAGTATTGAAAGATAGAGAGCTTACCGATTGAGGAGACTTTGAGAAGCTTGGAAATTGTTTGCTCGACTGGTCTACTGAAGTGTTTCGCTCGGGACTCTCTGAGGGTACCAATCGATTCAGAAGGTTAGAGAAAGTTTAAATGAGGGCCTTAAGGGCCTATTTATAAGAGAGCGTTTAGGCGGGAAACCAACCCACGTGCGTGACGCGACCGTTCCTAACTCCGAGGTGACCGTTGCGGTCGCAGAGGCCGGCAGTCGTCGACACGTGGCGTGGGGGGGAATGACAGCTGGCCGGTCGGTTTGGCGGCCGATGGTTGGGCTTCTTCATCCCGCCCTGTTTTTTCCCGGACGGTCAAAAAGGCACGGGCTGGGGGGCTCTTGATAGGGAATACCCCGATCGACCTTGGCCCTCCCGACCGGTATTCCTTTATCTCTGTTCTACTCATTTTGCAGGTCACGGGGCAAAATGCTTAAGGAAGGTCCAGTCGGTTCCCGACCGGGCATTGCCCGACCGGCATGGTCGATTCCCGAGCGATAGCCCTTCGACGAGAGAGTTGAGGAGAGACACGTGTCGACACTCGGCGTTGACAGCAAGGCGCCAGGGAGGACGACACGTGTTCGCCACGTGTGGGGCTAGCCGGAAAGCCGGGTTTGTGTCTCCGGCGCCGCGGCTATAAATACCCGCTGTAGCCACAGTGTGAGGGATCTTTGGGACGATCGATAGGCTGTTATCAGAGCATCCCGGCCGCAGTCAGTCGGTACCCGAGCAGCCATTTAGATTGTACTTAGGACCTTCACCTCGATCAATAAAAGAGACTATTTGCTTTAATTGGTCTTGTGTTAATTCGATTACCGCTTACGTGGCAATTAGCACTATCAAGTATATTGTTTGAAACTCTGCTCGACTGCTTCCAGACTTCTTGTGACCACTAACCAGTATGTAATATGTTTATATGCAATGTATGTACGTGACTAATGTGAGTTATTGAGTATGTCTTAAGTTATTTTATATTGTCTATGTATACATGTTTTGTGCATGGTCCATTACTTATAAGTTACGAGTGTATATACATGTTTTGTGCATAGTCCATTGCTTATAAGTTACGAGTATTTTTTTTTAGGTCCGGTTATGAAAAAATTCTTTAAAATAAATTTTACTTTTGAGAATACATTAGTCTAAGTAGAATTTTGCCTCCACTCACAAAAAATCCTGGATCCGCCACTGGTCACATATGTTGAGTATTTTTCATTCATATTCCATGTAACGTGTTTGGTTCAAAAATATATTTTTGATGAGAAAGTTTCATTTAATTTGACAAAAATATTTTATATTATTTAGTTGATAGAACATTTATTCAAATGAAAATTAAAAATTTCAAATTTCAGAAAAATGAATAAATTAGTTCTTGTAACTTTTATAGGATTCATTAAATTATATGAAGGTTGATTCAACTAATTTGTTGGATTTATTTCAACCCATAACGCAATAAAACTGTTATTTTTGTTTACTACAACCCAATGTCTTCTTAGATCGAAAAATTGAGTATAAATGCCATGTCAGTTTCCTTTAAGGTAATTTGAATTATGTTTATTTCTTTTGCTTTCATAGTGGTTTGTTTTTTCCAAAAATAGGAATATTCGATGTGAATAAAAAATCTCAAACTTCAATAGAATAAATTTACTTAAAAGTTAAATTTCATTTTTTTTTCCTAGATTTATAAGTGGCTATCAACTTTACTTTTAGTCCTTTTTTTGAAAAGGATAAATTAATTCATTAAATCGGAATGAAGAATGTTGACAAGAAAGGCAGGTGGTTCATCTAACCACTCACCGCAACCTGACATAGAAGAGGCCTCCCTTGCAACAGTGTGGGCAGCACAATTCGCAGATCGCTTAACATGACAGAATTTCACATCATCAATCTCAGATGCCAAATTCTTTACATCATAAACTAAATAACCAAAAACTGAAATAAAAGAAACTGAAGTAATTGCATTAAAAACAACCTGACAATCTGTTTCCACATCCACCGCACCCAGTCCTGTATCCCTTAACCAACTCAATGCCTCCCGAATAAATAGCACATCTGCTTCCCTAACCGCACATAACCCAGGCATTCTTATATTCTTGGCAGCCAGAAAATTTCCAACATCATCACGTAAGACCCATCCAAAACCCATAGCATTATCCTCAACATTTAGCGCAGCATCCGTATTAAGTTTTAGCCTCCCATGTGATGGCCTTGCCCAGCCTACCACAACATGCGAATCCGAGTGGGCAACATCAGCTGGCAGCTTCTGATTCGCATTTCCCCAACAATCCAGAAACAGCAACGCCCTATGCAACATAGTACACAAATCAAAATCAATACCCTTCCACACACTCTCATTCCTGCTGGTCCACACACCCCAACAAGCCATAACAAACTTTGGTTTTGAACATAAATCTAAGGTGCCCAAGGCCCAAAAAAGCCAATCTCCAAGATTATTACCATCGTAGGCACTTACATGCGACATCTCCAGCTTATTCCAAAGCCGAACTGCCTCCCCACACTGGACAAAAAGGTGCATGGCCGACTCCTGAACTTGTCTGCACATATGACAATTCAATAAACAAGCCACATTCTTAGTCATTAACAAGTCACGTGTTGGAAGGAAGTGGGATGCTAACTGCCAACAAAAACTCTTCACCTTTGGAGGGACATGCAAACTCCAAATACTTGCCCAAGGGCGATCACTTGCAGGCACCAAAGTGAGCTGCTTATAACAAGATTTAACCGAATACGCTCCTTTCTGCTCCCATTGCCAAAACCACTGATCACAAGGCTTACGAATACTGAGAGGAATATTCAAAATCAAATTAGCATCACGGGTATTAAAAATATCCTTAACACACTCCACATCCCAACCATTACCATGTAAATTCATTAAGGAGGACACCGGGGCCTGATAAATTGTCTGATGCAGCTCCGTTTCTACGAATGGATTTTCATCCACTGATAGCCAAGGATCCCTGCCAATGATAGTCCCATTACCATCGCCAATCACCCTTCTACATCCCTCCTTCAAGCACTCTTTCACTGCCAACATACCCCGCCATATGTAGGACGGATTGCTCCCCTCCCTAGCATCAAAAAAGTCACAGTCAGGATAATAGCGTGATTTAAACACACGTGCCACTAGACTCGTGGGTTGGAAATCAACCTCCAAGCCTTCTTTCCAAGAAGAGATTTATTCATCTCATGAAGGCGCCTAAACCCCATTCCACCACACGCTTTTGGCCTCGACAAACCCTCCCAAGAACGCCATCGTATTCCACGACCATTACTCACATCACCAGACCACCAGTACTGGTTCAATACTACCTCAATTTCCCGGCAAAGGCCCAAGGGGAGCAGAAACACCATCATAGCATATGCTGGCATTGCCTGCAAAACATTTTTCAATAGAACCTCCCTCCCAGCTCTTGACAGGAACTTGGCATTCCAAGAACGAACCCTGGTGAGTATACGATCCTTCAGAAACCCCAGTATGGCATTCTTCCTCCTTCCCACTAGAGAAGGCAAACCCAAGTATTTTCCACTAGTCTCCCCCTCCTCCACGCCCAGAACATCAACCACTTCATTCCTTCTACTCTGTGGCACATTAGCACTAAAACATGCAGCAGATTTATCGTAATTAACATGCTGGCCAGAAGCCCTAGCATAAGTATCCAGCACATACCTCATTTGAACGCTCTCCTCCTCATCAGCCCGAAGGAACAGGAAGGAGTCATCTGCAAAGAGAAGATGAGAGACAGAAGGCGCACCCCTTGCAACCGAAACATCATGCAATCGGCCCGCAACCATACTTCTTTCAGTCATGGCGCTCAACCCTTCTGCGACAAAGAGGAATAAATATGGGAACAGCGGGTCCCCTTGGTGTAGCCCCCTTCCAGGTATAATTGGTCCCAATCGACGCTGGTCATGTAAGATATGATAGTGCACAGAAGTTACCGTTTCAAGCATAATATTGACCCATCTATCACCAAAACCCATCTTAAGCATTACTGCCCGAAGAAACTCCCACTCCACCCGATCATAGGCTTTGGACATGTCAAGTTTCAACGCCACCACCCCCTCACGGCCTTGGGTCTTCCGTTTCAAATAATGGTGAACCTCGTAGGCAAGCATGATATTGTCAGTAATTAGGCGGCCCGGAACAAAGGCACTCTGCGCATTCGAAATCAGCTTCTGCAACAAAGGTTTTAAACGATTAGCACACACCTTAGCCACAATCTTATAAATGACATTACACAACGCTATCGGGCGCAGATCCTTCATAGACTCCGGCCTAGCCTTCTTCGGAATCAGAACAACAAGAGTATCATTAGCACCACCTGGGAGCTTAGCTGAATCCAAGAAGCACCTACAGAAAGCCGTAACCTCACCCCCCACAATGTCCCAGAAATACTGAAAAAATCCCGGCCCAAAACCATCAGGACCCGGGGACTTGTCAGGATGCATTTGAAACACCGCTACCCGGACCTCCTCCATACTCAGTGGGCGCAATAAAATTGCATTATCATGCTCAATCACCTTCCCCGATATAGCATCAATTACCTAATAAAATAAAATATTCCCTAATAAAATAAATTTACTTAAGACTTTAGTCAATTTTTTTGGTTCTAAATTTATAGGTGACAGTCTATTTTTAGTTATTTCTTTTTATCAAAACATCCCCTCTTGGTCCTAGTACTATTGTGGTATGATCATTTTTTGTCCTCCATCAACAAAATCGTTGAAATGCCGTCAAATACAAGGACATTTCAATCTTTTTAAAACAAACATCGTTGACCCGTTATATTTTTTATGTTTATTTTCTTTTTGGAAAAAAAAACTCATAATTGAATATCGAAATGCCCTTGTATTTAATTGCATTTAAATTTTTTTGTTAATAAAGGACAAAAATGGTCATGTCACAATAATACTAGGACCAAATTAAAGGAGGATGTTTTGAAAAAAAAAAAAAAAAAAAAAAAAAAAAAAAAAAAAAAAAACTAAGGGTGTGTTTAATTTGGTTCATGAGTTTAGCTATCAGGAATGAGTATCAAAGTCATTGTTATTGTTTGGTTGACAGGTTTCTAGAGCACTATTATTGGACTTGATTACCCCTTAATTAGAAAAATCATTCCCTAATAAAGTAAGAGTTTCATTCCATTATTCTCCTCCTAATTGGTAATTTAATTTTTAAATTTGGATTAGTGTTTTTAGATTTTTGTATTCATTTTTTTTGTTCATATTGGTGTTTTGGATGTCTTTATATTAGAATAAATTGTCTTGATTTTTTGTTCTTGTATTTTTAAAACCTTTATTCCATTATAGGATCATACATAGCCAATAAAGCAATACCATTACCAAGTATTTGATTCTCATTATTGGTAATCATTCCAATTCCACCCTACTACCAAACATGCAAAATACTTTCACCAAAACTCATTATCATTACCAAGTATTTGATTCTCATTCCGATTCCGATTCCAATATGCAAATCAAACACAACCTAAAAGTGGACTGCAACATATAAATCTAGAATCAAATATGAAATTAATTCATTTACTAAACTTTATATAAGTCATGTATACTAATAATATAATATAATTTTAATTTATTACTCCGTATTATACGACCAATTGAAGAAAATTTTCTAATCATATGGTACGTTTGGCAACCACAGGTACCGTTTTTGGCCTATTGTTTGAAAATATGAATTTTCTATACTTAGGTATTAGGGAGGGACTCCTAAAATATAAAGTTGAAATGGACATACCAAGTAATTAACCTTATTATGATACAATATAATGCCACCATATTGAGTTATGAACTTTTATTTTATGTTTCTCAACACTCAATCTCTAGCCATTTTTAGTGTTTGCCAACTATTCTTATTTCTCAGAAGTTATTGCAATCATTTTAATCTCATTGGTATGTCTTTAGGAGCCTTACCTTGGTAGTTTATGTGAAATATCTTTGATTCACTTTTACTAATCTTTTGATTATTTCTATAAGTATTTGTGCATTAATTTCTTTATTTTTTTTTTTTTTTTTTTTTTTTTTTTTGTAAATGTTTATGTTGAGATTAACAAGAACAAGAAACAATAAGAATGGCAGAAAGGTAAAGAAGACAAGATTTACGTGGTTCGACATGTGCTTACATCCTCGGAAGTGGAAAAATACTCTTATTTATAGTGATGGTGATTGTGGTGACCTAACCCCTTAGAGATACAACCAATATATTTATAGGAATCTTTTTTTTTTTTTTTGAAAATTATTTATAGGAATCTAATTCCAATACAATGGGTTTACCCGTTTCACTCCTATTCATTGTATGAGACAAACTCATATTCCTAATACTCATATGAGACAAACTCATATTCCTAATCCTTATATGAGACAAACTCAACAATCTCCACCTTGGCGAATATGCTCTTTAGGAGAAAAAGATAACTCAACAAATCTCCACCTTGACAAATATGCCCTTTAGGAGAAAAGACTTATCTCATCATCTCCACCTTCACAAATATGTTACTTGAGGAGAAAATACTTATCTCACATATACACATGGGTAGGAACAATCATGCTCATCCCAACTAGTCAGCCATATGCACACAACATCAAACGTTTATAAAAAATGGTGATGTTAGGTTCAACTAAAGCATTTATTGCATACTGATTTGTCTTCTTTCCCAAGTTGATCTAGCTACCAGTAGTAGTACTATACAAATTTAGATCTTAGAATTGAACCTAGACAGACGTGCTAAGAGGATTGTGTTAATGATGACCTATGAAAGACTTATATAATTGAGATATTTTAATTCAAGCACTTTAAGTTACTTTTATTCTTGTTTGAAATGGAAAATGGTTATGTACAAATAAACAATGATTTGAAAGCTGTAATGTAGATTAAGGATTAGTTGAAATTAAATTATTGAAAGATTAATTAGGAGATTTTAATCCACTTCGTATCTAAATATCTAAATAAAGTATTGAAAAATTCAAGGACTAAGTAATTAAATTATAATACCTCAATTCTAAAGTTGAATTGTAAAATGAAATTTATTTTACATAATAGGTGTGTTTCAATTCGAATAAAAATTACCTTTCAAATTTATTTACCTACTCTACTATGTAAATTTGAACACTAAAATCTGTAATTTTCAAAATTTTCTAGGAGTGAATTCCATTTTTGGTCCTACTGTTATAGAGGCTATTCCAATTTTAGTCCACCATAATTATTGTTGTCACATTGCGTCCACTATTATTAAAAGTGTTCCAATTTTAGTCCACGAAAAATCTTAAAGTGAACTAAAATTGGAACATTATAATAATAGTGGACGCAATGTGGCAAAAATAATTATGGTGGACTAAAATTGAAAAAGACACTATAACAATAGGACCAAAAATGGAATTCACTCATTTTCTAGCTTTGCACATTTAATGCTAACATTTTGCACATTTAGTATTAACATTTTTATACATTTAGTATTAAAAGATTGCACTTGCAAAAAAAAAAAAAAAAAAAAAAAAAAAAAAAAAAACATTAAACTTAGGGTTTTGATTTTAGAGTTTATGATTGCATTTTTTGTTTTATTTAATTTCGTGGTTCACTTTTTACTGCATAGCATCTAGCATTTACGGTTTAGATTTAAAATTTAACTTTTCATCTATTTTATAAAATTTACCAAGTTTGCATATTTACTTTTTTTTTTTTTTTTTGGAAATAGCATATTTACTTATTTAGTTGTTAAAGATTGCATATTTAAGTGTTTGAGTTTGCAGATGAAAGTTGATGAGAATTATGAAAATGCCACTATACTTTTTTTTTAAAAAAAATCTTATTAGAACCATCAAATTTTTACCGGTGTAAGGCTGAGATTTGTTCTTAGTTTTCTCCTTGAGTGTGTTTTCATAGGATCCAAAACATATATATATATATATATATATATATATATATATATATATATATATATATACACACACACACATATATGCAACAAAGTGAGTTAGAATTTGATTATTTTACTCATTTAACACTTCGAATATTTGGTGTAGTACAGTAGTTGTAACTTATGACATATAATGCAACAAATATGAAATTTAAAAACAAACTTCTTTTATTTAACTTTTGTGGTATTGATAAACATTTAATATATACCAACACTTTGTCTCTTAATTGGATTAGCCTGATGTGAATGGTGATTACTCTGAGTATGATACGGATTTAAAAGTGTCTCATATAATTAGGATCTGCTCAAGACATCGCATATGGTCTAAGAAAAAAATTAATGTCATTTCCCCTTTCATTTGTACAACTGTATTATCTAATATTGAACTTCACATTTCTTCAAAGAAAAAAAATATAAATTAAACTTCACATCAACTATTACCACTTTAAGTTATACTTTGGGGAGAAAAATAACTCTTTGTTTTCACCTTTACAAAAAGGCTAAACCCTTTCTATTAATTAGAGTATGGACCAAAAAGTTGCGCCAAAAAAAAAAAATAAATAAAAAAATCCTGATATCGGTACTACAACAATAAATTTAAAAATGAAGGGTTAAGTGAAAAAAGGACTAAAACTAAGGGTGTGTTTGGAAACCTGGAAAATGAGTTCTGGAAATCATTTTCCAAGTTTTCAGTGTTTGGATGTGCCTGGAAAATAAAGTCAACGGAAATCATTTTCCGTTGACTTTGGAAAATAGGCTTGTTTTGGAGGAAAATGACTTCCCCTTTTTTTTGGGGGAAGTCATTTTCCAACTTTTACACCAACATCACACCACCACCAACATCATCAACACCATACCACCATCACCACCACTATTGCCGCCGCTGCCACCACTATAACCCCGCCACCATCACACCACCACCACTACCACCACCAACACCCACTACCACTACCACCACCACCACCACCGTTGCCACCACCACCACCACCATACCACCGCCACCATCGCCGCCGCCACCACCACCACATACCACCGCCACCACACCACCACCTTCACACCACTGCCGCCGCCACCACCACCACCATCACACCAACACCACTACCGCCGCCACCACTACCACCACCATACCACCGCAACCACCGTCGCCACCACCACCACCACCACCACCACCACCATACCACCGCAACCACCGTCGCCGTTTCCACCGCCACCACCACAACCACCATCGCCGCCATCACTACCACCATACCACCGCCACCGCCATCACCACCATACCACCGCAACCACCGCCGCCACCACCACCACCATACCACCGCAACCATCGTCACCGCCACCACCACCACCGCACGACCACTGCCACCACCGTCATACTACTACCACCATCAGACCAACCACCACTACCGCCGCCGCCGCCACCACCACCATACTACCGCAACCACCGTCGCCGCTGCCGCCACCATTACACCGCCGCCGCCGCCGCCACCACCACGACCATACCACCGCAACCACCACTGTCGCCACCACCACCATACCACCGCCACCACACCACCACCGTCATACCACCACCAATTATTATTATTATTATTATTATTATTATTATTATTATTATTATTATTATTATTATTATTATTATTATTATTATTATTATTATTATTATTATTATTATTATACAACGAATAACACCACTACCACTACACCACCACCACCACCATAATATTTTTGATATATTATTAGTTTTTTTTTTTTTGAAAAACTTAGCTATTTTTTATTATATTTAAAATTAATATTATATTATTATATATTATTATACATGTTGTAATATTCTAAATAAAATAATTAAAATGTTTAATTATACAATTCTACTCATTTTCCAGAAAATGAACCAAACACAGAAAAACAGTTTTCCATAATGCAACCAAACACTGGAAAGGAAAATGTTTTCCGGAAAATGACTCATTTTCCAGAAAACATTTTCCAGAAGTCATTTTCCTACTTTCCAAACGGACCCTAATAAATCAATAATTTATTTTGCCACAAATTCTTAAAAGCAGTACTTGCCTTGTAACTTAATGAAAAGCACCTCTCACCCTTTTAGGCTTTCAAACAATTAAAGGAGGGGTACTGGACGGATAGGTGCAGGGGTTGACACAGGTTGGATTTGGGAAATACTTGAATTTTATTTTTGATATATGTAAATATTTAGTAATCTTTTTGACAATACCTAATATCGCATCTAAATTTAATTTGGATATATTTGATTTGGGTGAAATTATTTTGGGTTAGTTAGATATACCATTTCAAACAAAATACTACTCCGTAATAATTACGTAGTAACTAACAGAGTTTTAAAAGTTAATACAATTTTCATTTTCAAAAAAAAAAAAAAAAAATTTAATACAATTTTAATTATGAAATATATTTATAGTCAATATATATATATATATTTTTATATTTATATTTCTAATAAAATTTGGATTAGTTTGGATTTCAAGTCGGACATGTATGAAATCTTAACACCTAATTCAAATCAAATTTATATTTAGATAAAATTATAATTAAAAATATCACCCGAATTTACTTGAAATTCAAAATTCTATTTAAATTTTAGGTGTTGGTTCAAATAATTCCAATTACGTCCACCTCTAAGTAAGTCAAAAGGGGACAAAACTAAGCAATATTTATATCATGCAGCAACATGCACCCATCAAATCCCTATTTTTTTCTCCTTTTTTTTTAAATATAAATTTACTTTTTTTGTGAAAATAAAATTAAATATATACTTAAAAACTTTTATTAAGATCTTTTGAACTATATATATATATATATATATATATATATATATATATATATATATATATATATATATATATATTATGAGTTATTGATTTGAGAATTAGTAATGAGATATTTGGTAGTGAAACAGAATTTGTAGGTATAGTTAATATGAAGAGATGGAGGTGGTGCATTTATGTATGTGTGGTCACTCGGTCTCTGGACCACTTTAAGTGATGATGATGCATCGGAGTTGCTAAACATATATAATAAATGTGGAATATTGCATTAGATTAGCAACCTAGGTATGGTATATAGGTCGTCATAGGTACGGACGTATGGTATAAAATGGCAGAATGAAATTGAAGTCATAACTAGGGACGGTATATAGGTGTATAACTAGGTACGGTATATAGGTGTACCACCAAATAAAAGCTTACCTAAAGCTGACAAACGTAAAAGTGAAAAAAAAAAAAAAAAAAAAAAAAACCTTCAAAATGTTGAAATAAATCATTATTAACTTATTCACTTTTTTCAAAAAAAAAAAAAAAACTTATTCACTTGGTTAAGAAATCAATATAAATAATTAGTTAATTAACTTTTTGTAACTTCAAAATGTTAAAATTTTAAAAACGGTTCAAAGGAGCTTTTTCAATTAGTTTTTTGAAAAAAAAAATTTATACCAAATAACTATCAACTAACAGTTAATTTACCAAACAATTTTCTATAATCAGCTAATGTTATCAACTACTTATACCCCTAATTAACCCAACCAGCTAACAACTAACAACCATTTATCAAACATGGCCAAAGAGAAATAACCAAACGACTATAAATATGAGTTATAAGCATATTCTTGGTAGTCAGTATTGTATGTTTATCCGGGTTTGCAAGGAATATAATCCTATGGCTTGAAGATATTCTTAAAGATAATATTTCGAATGGTTGAAAAAAAGATGTAGATAATTAATTACTTTGACATGTCCACTATGTAAGATTTTCCCTAATAATATATATTATATATTATATATTAGGGCTTTAGTTAAGTGGTGCAAGTTGACTAGGCTTATTAAGTAATCTGGTTAGACTGAATAACTGGAAGTTGTTAGTCAACTAGACTCTGTGCCTAATATAATCCTAGATTGATGGGATACAAGATAATTGATGTTAGCACATTCAATTACGGTACTCAGATTGCTCAGTAGATACCGATACACCATCTAGGGTTCTGAGTCAGGTCTGAGGCAAAACATGGCTAACAGTCTACCGTTAAGTGGCAACACAACAGGTACATCAACTATGGCTGAACATCTACATGGCTACGCTTCCGCTATCATACGATGTCAGGTTTCTCGTATACTGTTATTCATTATAGTTAGACTATTTAGATCTAACACACTATGGATGATGAATATCCATATCATGATGAAGAGCAATACAATTGAAACATTATGGTTAAGAGTTTAACACACTTGATGTCACATTATAGTCAATTTTGTATAAATTACATATATATCTAAATAAAGCATCGAAGAATTAATGCTACTTTTTATTTCACTCTCCATCCCATCGTACTTTTGCATAATGTCATGCCCCCATCCTCCCCTATCCCTCTCTATACTCTTATATTTAATTTCCTTTTTACATAATTTTGCTTGCCCATATTATATTTCATGATTGTATATATGCCACCAAAATTATATTGTTGAAGATTAGAAGATGTGGATACTCCGTCCTAACCATGAAACCACAGAAATGCTAATTGGAAACATCCAATTTCATATAATATGAAATTTAGAAAGATTAAATGTGAAGGAATTAATAGAAATAAAAATAAAAATAAAAATAAAATAGAAATAAAACGATCCATAATGTATGTATGTATTAATTGGAAGAGAGGAAAAAAGAAAGATTGATCTTTAAGGTGTAAAGAGAAACATGTGTAGTGTGTAGCATAGATTTAGAAAGATTGAGAGATATGACATATGCATGTGCTCTGATCTGTTTCGAAACCATAACAAATTGGTAAATCTATAGCAATCAATGAATTATATATAAGTTCCAATCCAATTTCAAGGCATGGTCTTTATCAATCATTTAATTTGGACAAAGGTTATGTGATCTTCCTTTATACTCCGTAATAAATTTTGAAAGATCAATATAATTTGTAGTTTTATCATTTAAAAAAATAATCTTAAAGGTATTAATCAGTAAATAGATAAACTTTGAGTGTAATCAGTAAATAGATAAACTTTGAGTTTGTATTAGGATAAAAATTTAGTTAATATTATATATGATATACTACAAGTCATAATTATTGTTCAAAAAAAAAAAGTCTTAAATAATAGGTAGGAAAAGAAATTGAGAGAGCAGAGATAAGATGAGGGGAGTTGAGGTCACATTAAAGCTCTTATAAATAATCATTATCTGAAACTGGAAGCTATCATTCCTATTCCCTTTGCTTTTCATATTAGATTACACATTAGAGTTCAGACACACATTCCTTTTGCTTCCCATAAAAGTTTAATTTGAGAAAAAATACCTCATTTACGATAAATTTTCAATAAATAAACCAAACAACTCATAATATGATGTTAATCACTCTAGGAGCTTTCAACAATCATAGCTATTTCTTTATTTTATGTTAATGATGAGCATGTGTTCTGTTACAAAATCAGTTATATAATCTAGTAGTAGTCGGTAATCATAGTCATTTATCTCTTTCTTTTATGTTGAATGTTTTTCATCCATATTCAATATTAATTACTTTGTTTTGTGGTCCATTATAAAATACTAGACAAGTTAAATATTCCGTAACTTTTTTAGTTTATTACAATGATATTTATATTTAACTGATGAATCAATCATTAGACTTCATATTTAAAATGTAACTTTTTCATCCATATTCAATTGACCAGCTATTCGGAAAAAAAAAAAGTCTTCTATACTTAAGGTGCTTTGTTTGTATTCTTAATGTATGTGTTTTGTGTACTTAAGGTACGTCATTTTAATGCTTAAGATTAGGTGCGCCAATTCTACACTTAATGTTTGTCCTTTTGTGTTAGTCGCACTTCCGCACAGGAACTGATTTCCACACACACACACATATATATATAGACTTTTGTTCAAATGCAGTCGCGCCTTAATGTGCAATCGGCGCCCCTCCTGTTCTATTCCTTACCTATTTCATTCCCTATGAACAACATTCCTATTCCTACCAAATTCATTCCGTGAACCAAACGTGCCATAGGTTGTCTTTCATTCCAGGTGCCTCCGATGAGAGCATTAATAGAGGAGTCGCGTTTTTTTTTTTTTTTTTTTTTTTTTAAATTCATTGATCTAGATTTCTTCAATGGCTCAGATCTAATCCCATTTTTTACCTGGAGTAACCCCGCACTAGAACTCATCCACATATATATATATATATATATATATATATATATATATATATATATATATATATATATATATAATTAGTTAATATATTATATAGTATATATGATGTAGACGCAAGTCTTATAATTAATTAATTAATAGCTTAGGTAGGTAAAATGAATTAATGTGGGCAAGGGCAAGGTAGGAAAAAAAAATTGAGAGAGATGAGATGAGAGTTGAGGTTATATTAATGCTCTTATAAATAGTAATGGATCATCTGAAACTAGAAGCTATCATTCCCAGTTCCCACTCCCTTTGCTAGCTAGCTTAGCTTCTTTTTAAGAGTTAGATACAGTGATCCACTTCAGAATCCATCCCCATTTCCTTAGCTTCTAATATAATTTCATATCGATCAAGTCTAGACACTCTTATCCGTCGCAGAATGTCAACAATAATAGCCGCCGTAGCAGCCGTTTTGTTGGTTGGGTTGTTGGTCACTCCCCTCAACGCTCAACTCCCCACCACCACTATCACTAATGTTTCAATTTCAAGGATGAAAAACGCCATGGCCAAAGGCGCAGGTTCGTAACTTATTTATTTATTTATAATAACTTTGTTACTTTACATGTTGATTATGCGTTTTCTCAATTACTTTACATAATTTAATTTATTGATTAAGAGATCCGTTTTTGACTGTATTTTGCTATGTAGTTTGCTTGGATGGCAGTCCACCTGCCTATTATTTTGATGAGGGCCAAGGGGATGGAATCCATAACTGGCTGATATACTTAGAAGTAAGTAATTAAATTTGAAAACATATTTTTGTAGTGAAATTAAATTTGCATTTCTTCTAAATATATATAAGTTTTTTTTTTTTTTTTTTGGTTTTGTTTTGTTAATTATTTTGTCTGGCCTCCTTCATTTCTAGAATTACTTCCATAACAACTTTGTAACTTCTTTTTAAGGGTGGAGGTTGGTGCGTTAGCCACACAGATTGTAAATCGCGTGCTCAATATAGTCTTGGCTCTTCTAACCGTAGGTGGGATAATATGTCATTCTATGGCATTATTTCAAAAAATTCGACAGAAAATCCTGGTATAAAACAATTTTATTATTGCTAATTTAAAAATTATTTTTGCATCCACGCACCTTAATAACTTTGTTTTCTTGAATATAGAATTTTATAATTGGAATAAGGTTTATGTTGTTTATTGCGATGGATCTTCGTTTACCGGAGATGTTGATGCGGTTGACACTGTAAGTACTTTCAAATTTGATGATCAATAGTGTAAAGTCAATCATTTAATTATTCAAAATACACGGTTAACTCTCATAAGTTATGCAATGTTTTTTTAATATTCTACACAATATTTTAGGGCAATAATCTAACTTATAGAGGTGCTCGTGTTTTCAAAGTCATTATGGAAGAATTACTAGCAAGGGGAATGAAGTCCGCAAAAAATGTATGGTATTTCACTATTGACTGAAAATAGTTAGATTATATATGTGCTCTTTAAAACAAAATTGCTATATTTATATATATATTTTTTATCTATTATGTATGCCATACTACATAATAATTTTTTTAAATTAAATATTTTGTAGGCAATTCTTAGCGGGAGTTCAGCGGGGGGATTAGCTGCAATGATTCATTGCGATTACTATCATGAGCTTCTCCCTAAGACTGCTAAAGTAAAATGCCTCGGGATTGCGTCATATTTTTTGCACCAGTAAGTCAACTTTTATGAACGATTTTAATTTGAATTAAGATCAAATTGTGAAATTTGCAATGAATTGAAGTAACTAATATTATTATGATATGCCTAATCTTTCAATAGGGAAAATACAGTTGGAAGGAAAGAGTTTGAGTCGGAGTTTGAGGCATTAGTTACTTTACATGTATTTCTCTTTTCCTAATCTTAATTTATCCTTTTTTAGAACTACTTATTTTTTTCAAATGCAAGCACAAAATTTATTAATTTTACTCTTTACTATGGTCTATGGGTTAATAGGGATCCGCCAAAACTCTGCATCCATTGTGCACTAAGTTAATGAGGCCAAGTCTGGTAAGCTTACACTAATTTTAGTATGAGTTTGAATTGTGGTATAATAAGAATTTTATTTTTGCTACTAATTATGTTCTATTCAATTCACAGTGTTTTTTCCGCAATATTTTCTCTTATATGTAAAGACGCCAGTTTTCATAGCAATGTCCGCGTTTGACAAAATTCAGGTTATGTCTTTATTAAATAACAATAATAATAATTTTGATAATATTATTTCAGTATTCTTTTTTTTTTTAATTTAGTTTTAATATTAGTTGAGATCTTTTAAAATACTAACATGTTATTTAATCGCTCACACACACACACACACACACACACACACACACACACACACATATATATATATATATATATATATATATATATATATATATATATAATATAACTTTATTTCAATGTTTTATTTATTTTAGGTATCATTTAATTTGTTTTATGTGGATGAGTTATGCCTTCTAAGTAATAGCTGCACTCATGACCAGAATGAGGCAATACATGGTGAGTACGTACTATAAGTTACCTATATACAATTAAAACACTATGTGCTAGCATTGCCCTATTTTTGTTATTATTATTATTATTATTATTATTATTATTATTATTATTATTATTATTATTATTATTATTATTATTATTATTATTATTATTATTATTACTAATTGTAATTTTATTATTAATTTTCAGAGTTGAGAATGGACTTTTTAGCTGAACTACCCAAATCCATTCCTTTACACAGAGGAATTTGGATTACAAATTGCGTTGCACATGACTTGCCATACTCTTGGACACTGGTGGAGAATATGAAAACCCTAGGCTACAAGGTAACACAATGTGTTGTTTTTTTTTTTGAAAATAACACAATGTGTTGTTAAGTTAAATATAATTATTCTTTACTCCATCGACAATATTTATTTTTTAATTCACAATTGTAATATATATAAATTGTTTATTTCACAGTCGTTTCCCGAAGCATTTGATGATTGGTATTTCGATCGATGTTACATTCCTGTGATTGACACTTCGGGGGATGCCAAATATTGTAAATCAATTGGAATATATCCATAGGAACATATGATAGATGGTGGGATAATGTATTTTATTTTATTATTGAGATATTCGAAAAATGACTTATGCAATTTCTTTTATTTTCATATTTGTAACTCTTAAAGTTCATCATATAATCATAGAGCGAAACATGGATCACACCATGTTGATATTCTCTTAACATCTTTCCTAAGGCCAATTGCTTGCATATTCATGTTTGCAAATTATTAGTTCCTTGATAAAATTTGTGTAAATTGCTGATAACCTCAGCTCACACCACGTTAAATTTTTTTTAATTATTAATACAATTACCACAATTCTACATAAATAGATAAATATTATGAGGTAAAATTAAAATATAGCACTGTAGCACCGCTCTTTTTTTTTTTTTTTTTTGAAAATCACTGTAGCACCGCTCTAATTATATTTTTTTTTTCAAAAAATTAATTATTATTTTTAATTATTCATCATTTAATTTCTTCTTGAAGAGGTGGAAACTGGACATTCAATTTAATGCAAATCTTTGGACAGATGGAAATGTCACCTTTTCAGTTCACCCATGAATAGATGTTGTTGTCAGTCCACCAATGTTTTTTTTTTTTTTTTTTTTTTTTTTTTTTTTTTTTTTGGTTTAATGTGCAAACAATTTCACTACTAAGGGAATAAAGTAAAAACGCAATCAATTCAATGCCAACATATAAAATGGTTTCAACATATATAATTGAAATAAAAGGGGAAAAAAGGTTGAAGACTTTGAAGTTACAAGCAAAAGCTTGAAAGAGTCATAAATAGTAACCATACTTCAACAAGATTCACTTTAAAATAGATGATATGTATGTTTGAAATTATTTTAGGTTTTTTTTTTTTTTTTTTTTTTTGGGGGGGGGGGGGGGGGGGGGGGGAGGGGGGGATAAATACATATATTCAAAAAGGTGTTATATAGTTTTTAATTTGTTTTTAAACTCTTATGTGTATGTATATGAAGATTAATATTTTCTATACATTATTAATGAAAAATAATGAGTAAATTAGAATATTAAAGTACTTTAATATTAAAAGAGGTATGGACACCCGTCTACAAATAAATGAATTAAGTATTATGTATACCGTAACCAGAAAATTATTTTAATTACTATGTCTAAAAGACCAAAAAAGTTACCAAATATATTAGAAGTAATTATTTTTTTCAATAAAAATTTAAAATTAATTTTCTGATATGATTCCGTGCAAGAAGGAAATAAAAATAAAGAATTTGCATGTGAATATATTTAGTACGTGCATTGTTAATATATTCAAAAATTTACATGGTAAAGAAATCAAATTTCGAACTTACAAATGAAAAAAAAATAAAATACACATAACACGTGACTTACTCATCACTTTCTTCTTCTTCTAATTTTAATATGATTTCTTCCTATTAATGCCTTCCCATCATCTATCAGCATAGACTGTTGTGTAGCATAGGTTTAGAAAGATTGAAATATATGACATTGAATTTAAAATACAATTTATTACTGACAAATTTAATCAGATTAAATCTAAGGTTACAATGCTAATTCTCAAATTAAAATTGAAATTTATTAATCATAATTAATTCCGTAATGGATTCACAAGTTCAAAAACAATCGGAGGACCTAAGTAGGGAGAGTTTAGCACAATATGATTTATTTTTTACAAATTTTATCTATATCCCAATAATAAAACAAATGTATAATTCTGTGATGGTGCATGTGATGACCGAAATGGTCCATTGACTATAGCAAAATTACCAATTTAGTCCCGAGTTAATGGATGTCTAACGTTTATGACCATTTCAGGTAAAAAAAAAAAAAAACAAAAAAACAATAGTCAGAGACTAAATTGAGAAATTTTGGAAATCAAAGACCAAATTAGTCAAATCCACATAATCGAAGGACCGGTAATTAACTCATGTCATTAACTACATAATTCAATTAGTGAAAATGATAATTAATGATAGTTTGTGTTTATTAAATGTGAAGTAATTAATAAACACTTACGTTACTTAAATACTAGCACTAGTTCAATTCACCTTGGGGGTTATATATATATATATATATATATATATATATATATATATATATATTTATTTATTTATTTATTTATTTATATTTATATATTTATATTTATATTTATTTATTTGTGTGTGTGTTTAATATGCACACACAATTAAGTCACAAAGAGTTGCCGATGAGACACACTAAACTATAAATAAGACAATATAGAGACACATATAATAAGATAAATAATTAAGTATGGTTTATAAGCACATTAATGTGGTGTTTGTTTTGGCCATTATTTTCTGTTTGTTAGTATGTGCGCATAGTTTGCCAAAAAGCACTATGGAACATATTGTCAAAGATGCAGAGCAAAATCTTAAACAATGTGTTCATAAGGGTATGAAGGGCATTTCTGAAGAATATTACGACATTGAAAAACCTTATGTTGAACGGTCCTGCAAAGCAAACTATGTTAGATGTGAATTACTTAAATATGATTGTTAACAAATTAATCAGAATTTTACTCTTTTTTTTTTTTTTTTTTTTTTTTTTTTTTTTTCATGTACATTGTTATTTAACTCAATTGGTTCTTAAGTGATAAATTGTTGACAATGACACATGATCAAATCTGATAGTTGCAATGGGGCGGAGCTACATCCAATGTGGTGGGCTCCTTATGGGACCAGGAACTAATCCTTCCATCGAATGAGTCGTTGAATCACCGTGATTTACCGTTTCAGTATTTTGTCAAGTCAGAGTGTGGGGGTCTGGTGAACGAGAATATTTTGTCCTTTATAAACAAGAGAGTAATTTTTTTTTTTTTAAAAAAAAAAGTAAGTAAACTCATCGCTGTTTCTCCCAACATTAATATAATGTTTGACAAAACAATAAAATTAATTGATAATATATCTTCCCACGTTAGCATGACTGTGAAGCCTTCCACGTTGAATTTTTCATAGCTTAAGTAGAAGGCGTTCTATCAAGTGACTTTCATTTCATCATCTTGTTAGCGAAATATTCAAATTAAATTGTTAGGGAAAATATTTTGGTATTTTTCATGGGGTCGAGGTAAAGAATAGTAAGCAAAAATATTGAAATTTGATAAGCTTTTCGATGTTCAACTGTCTCATATTTATAATTGAGCAAATGAACTATTGATATTAAATCATGGTGTTTAATTTAAACACTATACTTGTGTTATTAGTACGCAGTAATATTTAATTCTAACAAATAAAAACTTTAAATAATTTATTGCATTATTATTTTTTAAATAGAGTAATCAGTTGTACTTTTATCATAATTTTAAAAATAAAGATATCTTTTTTAAATTTTCATTAAATATATTGGTTAAACGGGTAAAATAAGTCCCTGAAGCTAAGTTTATATGAGAAGTCAATTAGACCTCTAAATATTTTAAACTAGTAATTAATTAAACCCAATAGCTTGTGCTTTTTTGTATATTCAGACCTAGAAACATGTTATTTACCTATAAATGTCGGCACCTTGCTACGTGGCGTCATTTGGACTATGTATGCAAATTGAAAAAAATCAAAATAAAAAAGTACATTTATTAAAATTAAAAATCTACATAAATAATCTAAATAAAACCCACACTGTCTGTATGTAACTATACCATTCCCCGCTAGCCGGCTGTCCACCGTCATAGCAACCAACAAATTTTTCAGATTCGTAATTATCACAAATTTTACTATGAAAACTTGAAAAATAAAACATGCATTTCTTAGAATTTTATAGGTTTGAATATTTAGTATTAACATATTTCACATTTAACATTAACAGTTTGCACATTTAGTGTTAAAAGAGTGCACTTACACTTAGGGTTTTAATTTTAAAATTTATGACTGAGTTTTTGGTTTTATTAATTGGTTTAGTGGTTCACTTTTTACTGCTTCGTTAAAACTTGCTAGAAAATCCCTGTAAGAAAAACCTAGTCGAGAAAAGAGTACACGATATATGTGTAATGCATGTGTTGTTTCGGTTGCCTCATTAAATATATTAACTTAAGAAAACTCTGTGGGAAAAAAAAATTAGTTAAGAGAAAAATAGTACAATCACAACCCTTCAGGGCATAATTCACTACTACAAAAATGATAAAAAAAAATCGAAGAATCTGTGCCCGAAGTTTAAACATCGAACGCGTAAAGTGGGGACAGTGGCACTTTTGTAATTAAAATGACACTGTATAATTAATTTTTTATTTTTTTAAATGAAAAACAATCTGTGTCCGAAGTTGGGAAACTTCAGACGCAGATTGTGGACTTGCTTATTTAGAAGAACTATATGCGTCCGAAGCTCTCGCACTTTGGGCGCATATAGTTAAGGCGATAATATAATATGCGTCCGATATTCCTAACATCAGACGCAGATTGTTAGGATTTTTCTAAAAAAAACCACCCCAGGCCCTCGTCTTTTCCACACCCCACAACTCTTTCGTCGAAAATCACCCATCTGTCGTACTCCTCCACAACTCCTCTGTCGCACAACTTTTTCTCACCGCCACACTTCTTCTCCATCATCTTCCTATCGTCTTCTCATAGCACAACCCCACACTATTCCACGCCATTCCCCTCCATCGCTGTCAGTCTCCAGCCCCGTCGCTGCCGCCACCGGTCTCCAGTATTCGCCACAAGGTATATATATATATATATATATATATATATATATATATATATATATATATATATATATATATATATATATATATATATATATATAGATTTAGGTTCCCGTGCGGTTGTGCGATTTAATCTGAGCCATTCATCTCGCTTTAATCAACGTCCAGGATTATCAAAGTTTAAAAAAAAAACGCGGTGACAATTTTGTAATTTTTGTATCTAGGTCAAAATTAAAGTGAGCGGATCTGTGATTAATGTGAGTTATGCGTGAGGTTTGTGCTTAATGTGCATGGGGATGTGCTTAACGCGAATAGTTGTTAAAACTTAAAGTCTGTGAGGTAATACTTAAAGTGCGTGGGTTTTGTGCTTAATGTGCATGATGTTTGTGCTTAATGTGCGTGGGTTTTGTACTTAATGTGCGTGAGTTTTGTACTTAATGTCAGTAGTTGTTGAAACTTAAAGTCTCTGAGTTAAAATTTAAAGTGCGTGGGTTTTGTACTTAATGTGCGTGAGGTTGTGCTTAATGTGTGTGGGTTTTGTACTTA